GTCAGGAGAGTGTCCCTGGGATGTGGCATGCTCCATCTATGATCTTACAAAGGTCAAAGGAGACTGGTGAGCAGAGCTCAGAGGGGCCTACTTACTACCAGCAAGATAGAAGAGCCGGAGTGGATTGCATCCTTTGGACCTGGGTCCCGGCACTGGGAAGCTCCTAGATCCAGGGAAGATTGATGCCAAGACACATGGAGATCTCCAAGGAATGCTGGCCCAACAGATGCTGAAGTAAGACCAGGTCCTTTTCCCAGGGCTGAGAGATAGAGCCTTCCCCCAGAGCCGGCACTCTGAAGTTGGACTTCTAGCCTCTGTTAGCATAGTGGTTACGAATCGGGCTGGGAACCGCAAGGTCAGCAGTTCGAAACTACCAGCTGCTCTGCAGGAAAAAGATGAGGCTTTCTGCTCCCGTAAAGGTTTATAGCCTCGGAAACCCTGTTCAGGGTCGCTATGTGTCGGAACTGACTCGACGGCACTTAACAACAATAACTGACTCTGTGGGACAGAGGAGAGCTACTTCATAGGGTTTCCAAGGCTGTAAACCTTTTCAGAAACGGGCTACCACATCTTTCCATTTGTGGGGTTTGAACTGCCAACTTTTCAGTTTGTAACTGAATGGTTCACTCACTAGGGCTTATGAGATTGTCAATCTTTATGGAAGCAGACAGTCTCATCTTTCTTCTGTGCAGCAGCTGGTGGGTTTGAACCGTTGACTTTGATGTTAGCAGCCTAATGGGTAACCCATGATGCCACCAGAGCTCCTGGTAAAATAGATGGTCAGCAAAAACAAGGGTCACCCTCAATGAGAAGGCTTGACACACAAGAATCATAACCCTGGGCTCAGACCTATCTGAGAGTGTGGAGAAGGTGAAGGACAGAGCAAAGTTCTGTTGTGTTAGACTTGTGGCATATGACTCAGAGCGTATTCAATGACAGCTAACTACATGGAGTGCATGTAGTTAGCAGCTGAGAAACACTGGACAAAGGTCAAAGAAAGATAGCTGGTGGCATACAATAAAATAACAACCAGCTTTTATAAAAGCTCTGGTTTAGACTGAATTGCATCCTCCAGACACCACCCTCCCAAAGAATGTATTGTAAATCCTAACCTTTGTGCCGGTAGTTTAATCCTATTTGAGAATGGGTTGTGTTTGTTATATTAAGACAGGCTAGGTGTAAGATGGAGTCCTGGTGTGGCGCTGTGGGTTAATGCACCAGACTGCAAAGCAGTTTGAACTACAAGGTTGGCGGTTCAAGCTCACCAGCTGCTCCTCAGAAACTATACAGACAGGGTTGCTATGGGTCAGAATCGACTGGTGTGGCACTGTGGGCTAATGCGTCAGACTGCAAACTGAAAGATCGATGGTTCAAGCTCACCAGTTGCTCCTTGGAAACCCTATACTGGGTCGCTGTGGGTCAGAACCAACTCCACAGCACTCAACAACAACAACAACTAGTGTATAAGATGGGGAGCGCTGTGGCTCTGTAGGATAAACACTTGACTGTGAACCACAAGGTCAGTCAGTGGTTTGAGTCCACCAGCTGCTCTGTGGGAGAAAGATGAGGCTTTCTGTTCCATGAAGATTTCCAGCCTCAGAAAGCTTATAGTTGGAACCGATTTGATGGTACATAGTGACCAGGTATAGCCTTTGTCTTGAGTCTGTCTCTTACAGAATATCAAAGGAGCAGATTAAGGAAGCCAGAGATGGAGTAAGAGAGACACGGAGATACGGCACATGGTCCAGAGGTAGAAGCTCTAAAGACAAAAGGCCCTTTCCCTAGAGCCAACAGAGCCAGCATCCTAAATTCAGACTTCTAAACTCTGAACCACGAAAGAATAAATTTCTGTTTGCTAAAGCCACCCGTTTATGGTATCTGGAGACGCTCATAGCCCATTGCTCAAAGGGAAAAGAGCAGGATACAAACACGCATGATTCCAACTCCAAAAATATAAAATGCAAGAGAGATAACAACACCATGGGAACAAGCTCATAAATGAAGATCTAGGAAAGGCTTGGTTCTATATGGTTCTAATTCTTTTTTTCTTAAAGGAGAATCACTTGTGTGATTAAAATTTTCTCTTTAATGGAAAACTTCTCAAAGGTAACATGCTTCTAAAAAACACCTATTCTTGAGTGTTATGATGGATCCCTACATCTGAAACCTGTTCAGCATCGTCTGCAAGCCCCCACTGACAGATGGGTTGGGGCTGTGCAGAGGTGTGTTGGCCAGGAATCGAACCCAGGTCTCCCACATGAAAGGTGAAATTCTATCACTTGCAAGCTGAGAGTGCTAATACCTAAATTAGACTGTCCTCCCAGCCCTGAAAATCCTTGAATTTATTGAATTTCCCACACTTTTTCTGAAATGATCCTATCAACTTCCCTCTTGATGAATGGGGAAACCAAGGCTTAAAAAAATCCACTACAGAGCAGTTGATGGTCTGCCCATTATCTAACCATGGCCTTGTTTGGGCTGATGATATGGAGCTTTTCCACCGGTGTAGTCTGTTTGATTTCTGTGTATTCCATCTGCTGAGGTCTATGTGCATGAGCTTTATGTTGTTTAGAAAAGGTATTTGCAAAGAAGAAGAAGTCATTGGTCTTACAAAACTCTGTTATGCGATGATCTCCAACATCATTTCTATTCACCAAGTCCGTATTTTCCAACTACTGATCTTTCGTCTTAGTTTCCAACCTTTGCATTCCAACTGCCAGTGATTATCCATATATCTTGACTGCATGTTTGATCAA